AGTCGTTAAATGTTAAGTTTATTCGTCGGGCAATCGTAAAACTCGAGAAGTTATCTGTAAGCTTTAGCGTGTGTTTGCAATCGACTGGACAGCGAATTGAGGAAACGATCTTGTACCCGCTGTTATACACTGGATAGCAGTTTTACTTTTAATAATGTGTCTTTACACGGATGGTTATGTCTGAGATAAGTCGGTAATGTACTTTGATGTTGAAAGTGTGAAATTTTTAATTTAGTTTTAAACATAATTTAAGTTTGAATTTCTGACTGAGTAAGTGAACCTGAATCGACTTGCATTAAAATATTTTTTAATATAATTTTGCTTCGAATAGTATACGACTATAGACTTAGGGTGGATTGGACAATTATGTCCACTTTGTAAAAATTACTAAACATGTTCTTTTCTTAAAAATCCTTCTTACTATGCGTAATGGTAAAGCTTTTGTTTGATTTTTTTTAATATTAGCAGATTATTTACTAATATTTTTTTTACCATTCCAACTAAGCTCTAAGCTTGTGCTAGGATATGGTTTACGACAATAGTGGAATGGTGGGATTCGAACCTCCGACCTCGTGATCGGAAATCCGTACCCTTAACCATTAGGCTATTGGCGCTTAAATTGATTAATTGTCACTAGACTTTTAGAGCAGTTCAGATTAACAATTACTTTTTTGCCGTAAAATGTTTTAGTCCTGAATAGCCATGAATGCATCGTACAATCTTCTTTCTACTACATGGGAGAGATCTATGCATAATCAATAAAGCATTCTTGGACTATTATAACCAATCATTTATGTAAATTTAAAAACAATAATCCATGTAGAGCAATTAAGCTAGCTATAAAGAAAAGATCTCATTATTTACCTTTTACTACTAAACAACATCTTTAATAAGAAGATAATAAAAGGGTTATAACTTCGTAAATGGTCTTTAGCAAGTCAAAATAAGCCTTAATTAAGCGAGTTGTTAAAAGACTTATTAATTAAAATTTTTACCTTCCCAAGACTAAGGGGCTTTTCACACTACACCTTTTAATATTTCTTTTTTTTAAATTAAATGCGATATGCAAACTTAAACAAAAACAATTTTCCAATTTAGAAATTCCTATGTTAGAACATAACATGTTATAAAAAAAATTGGAAATGAAATTGAAAGTTTAAAAATTGTGTGCAAATATTTCATGATTGTTTAAATAAATAGTTATTCGTTTATAATTTGTATATTGAATCTGTATAAAAAATCATTATAATAGAAAAAAGAAACTAAATTTAAGATGCGTCAATAACAGTGTAACGCACCCTTATTCTGAACAGTAGAAGTATTTTATTATTCAGCAAAGAAACGCCGAAGGGGTTTTCTCATAATCAAATATATTCAACATTAAATGTCTTGTACATTTAACTATAATACAAACCAAACATAACAGAAAATTAAATTGCTTAAGGACTGCAGATAATTTTAAGCAAACATAAAAAATGTATAGAACAAACGAATAGATTGGAGTGCCTTTGCCTTATTTTCTTCAGAAATAACTATCAGTAACTAAAATAGACTCTTGGAAAGTTGGAAAAGAAATCACAAACTAAGTAGTTTGTCAGACTTCGCGTAACAAGAGGGAAAAGTATTCCAATCTAATTTCTCTTTCAATTACCGAAGATTGAATTTGCAGAAAAAGTGAAGTTTATGTTGTGTCTATAGCGCAATATCTAGAATACTGAACTTTTGTAAAAAACTTTTTTTTAAGAAAAAATAAGGAAAATTAAGCCACAGGTTACGTAGTACTGTGTAAAATTTGTATGCATCATTTTTGTTGAATCGGTTTCTTCATCTGAGTGTTTATTACGAGATTATCTTAAAATTCATATAGTAATAAAAATTACCGTTTATATGCTTAGTAAGATATATATAATTATACAGTTTTTTAATAAGGGAGGGGGCAAACGAGCGGTGGGAACACCGAGGTGATCAACGACACCCATGGACATCTGCAATACCAGAGGAATTAAGACTTATTTTTCTTGGTAAAGACCGTTTACGAAGTTTCATTTTCCTTTAAAATGTGAGATAATGATATCAATAGTTACTACATTAATTAGTAGTTTTGTACTTACGGAACGTTTCTGATGATGATGGTGTTCCAGTTTCATATTGGCACATCTGTTGAGAGCGGTCAATCTCCGGAAGAGAGACTGCAGGGAGTCCGCGTCAAGAAAGGGATGGTCGTTCTGTACTCCCGATACGTCGATCGGGAACTGCAGATCTGAAACAATTGAACGCTATTGTGAAATAGTAAATCTTATTCCGTTAGTTACTCTATGCTATGATTTTATTTTGAAGTAACATCACTTCATTGGACTTTTTAGTGTTACTTATTATATCCTATCAACCACGTGTAACTTTTTGAAAGTAAATTTGTCAGCGTGGAATTAAAAAAAACCTATAATATGCCTTCCACTGAGTCATACATAATATACATAAACGTCGACATTTTAGTAAGGTTAGTGTTGTGCCAGTACATCAGCACTGTATCAGATTTTCTTCCCAACAATCATACAAGATATATGTTTTTTTTTATATTACAGAAATATACTTAAATTATTAACTATATAGAAAAGTGAATTATTTTACGTCCAGCCTATAATTCTTAACATCACAGATTATATCTAGTGCAAATACTAATAAGCTAAGAGTAAACAAACATCTGTATAACTTGGAAAGCAAACAGAAAATTCTCTTATTATTAGCAGCTAAAAGATACTCTTAAGCGTATATTCATAGTACTGTTATATTATAGGTCTAGCTTCTACTAGAGCTAGCATAACATCGTAAAAAGGGCTATATAAATTTAACAGCCCCTTTAATGCAGTGGCGCGTGAGAGTCTACGTTATACGATGGACTCGTGGTCTAGCATTAAAGTTATTACATCTGAAGTGATTAAAGTTCTGATGACAGTTCTCATTGGAGTAAAATGATCTTTATAAATAGACTAGCTGTCGCCCGTGACTCCGTCTGAACGGAATTAAAAAAAACTTATTAGCCTATGTGTTCTTCCAGAGTATGTTCTACAATAATGGCAAATTTCATCGAGATCCGTTCAGAAGAAGAAGCTTTCAAATAAAAAATCCATCCATCAATCTAAACATTCACATTTATAATATTAGTAAGATAAGTCAGGAAATTACAGTTTATGTGTCCTTCGGACTTAAACGCCCCTGTTGAATTTACTGACATTTATTCTTTATTATTAGTTCAAATCCTCACCACCGTCATCAACTACAACAATCAACGCCAAAATGGCGAACATGACATAGGCACGAAATATCACAGCTTATAGCCTGTCCATGTATATCAGTGAGTAAAATGCAATGGTTATGCAAAAATATTTTAATAAGAACTAAGGATATATAAACTTTTATTTTACGAAGCTTTGTCCCATTGGGCTTGTAATAAATACGAGCAAATACTGCAGCATGTTTTTTTGTTATTGTTAAAATTATAAATAAAAAATATTATGCTTCCTTCTATATTACAAATGTTAAAACAACTTAAATTTTCAAGCGAAATTATGTAATTTTTTTTATATCATAAGGTGACAAACGAGCAAGCGGCCACCTGAAATCGCTGAACTAGCGAAGTGACCGAAGCCCATAGACATACGCAATTGCATATGCGTTCCCTACCTTTAAAACATATTTTTATAATTTATTTAAAATATATTTTCGTACAGAATTCTATAAATGAAATTAAATTTGATTGGAATTAAGTTTAACGTGTTAATGCAGAGTCCATTAGTAAATCTGTGTTTACAAAGGATAACAATATTACTGCGATGTTTGAACATGCTGTTAGTCGAACGTCGGCTACATTATGAGAGGGCAATGTTACACTGAGATATAATCTAATAAGGCAAACCTGTGAAGCATTACACTTTGTATTGAGCATTAAATTCATAATTCATTTTAGTTCTGATAAAATTAAATTAAAAAAATTCAACAGCTTGTTAATTTTTTAAACTAGATGGCGTTCCATTTAATTCCTTAATAAAAAAAAAACTTACCATACAATATTTCACTATAACAGAATCATATAGCTTGTAACGCACATACCTAAAGCGTTTCTAGAACTTAATTGAATATGTTTACGTCAATTGTTTGCTTTAATTTTGACTATTTTGGAATAAGACACTCTTAAGTCACGATGAAAAAGATGTATTTATTTCATTATATTTTCTTAAATATTCATAACGCAGTCTGTAAATTTTGTGGACAAGATCTCTATTTATTAATTTATTATTGAAAAACCAAACGACTTCGCGTAAACAGTTAAAGCCCTTCGTACACAAATCCGGCGATTTTACTCGCTAAGCGATATGCAATGTATTGTGATAGAGCTTTGTACACAACGCGAGTCGCCGACATTTCTATCTGTCATCGCCTAAAACAGTCGCTCGAGACTTATTTGTTAAGATAGTCGTGAGATAAATCGCTGCAATTTTCAAGATGGCGGCGCAATTCTATACAGTTAGTATGTAGTAGCTATGCCTGTACTGTGTAGAAGACACGCGTCGACGATTCATAATTGTGTATACGGAAAGAGCGCTATGTGATTCTCGCGACACAATTATTATCGACGATTTTCACTGCCTTGTGTACGAAGGGCCTTACAATTTATAACAGTGCTAAGCTTATAAAACAATGCTAGTCACGCTACAAAACATTACCCCACTCAAACGTACAGTAACTGACACAAACAGTTGTTAGTTATCAAGGTATAACTGGGGCGGCTGTCGTGGAGCCGTACGTTCCGACGCGCGCCTCCGGTCCTCTAGGGTGGTAGGGTGGTAGGGTGGTTTGCATGTAGGTCGAGTTGTGGGCGATCGGAGAGAATATTAAAATGTACATTAGATTGCTTGCATCATCTGCTACTGAATTATAACGGGATTGGATTTTAAAAAAAAGTTTTTATTGGAATATGCTTTTAATGCAATAGTTGTTTGAAATAGACTTTTATTGCTGTATTAATAGTTTAAGGACTGTTTTAGCGTAGGTTCAGTATAAAAAATCTTTACTAAGGGACTGCATAAGTAATGAGTGACTCTCTGTGAGATAGTCATGTCTAAGAAGTCTTGACTGATCTTTTAGTAGTAACATTTGATTCGTATTTAAGCTTATCGTATTATATTAAAGCTTACAGCTTTTTGGAATTAACTATTGTTCATGAATATTGATTTTGGATTTATGAAAATTCTGGTTACGGTGATTTTAAATTATGTAAATACACATAACAGATTAATTCCCGGCTCGTTTGGGCGGGTTCAGGGATGAAAAGGCCGGGGACGCGTTCATGCGTTCACTTCACAGTTCGCTTGTCACTTGCTAATTTTATCGAACGTTGCTTATTCGGGAATATTATAAATAGAACTTTAACCTGTTTTTTCTGTAACAAAACATTTGCTTATTTAATTACGTCTATGGTTTTGTACCTATGAATTACTTCGTGTATTGATTTTTATTGATATTTTTTTAATTTAATAAAAACAGAAGTTTTCCAAGTAAAACAATGGTAGAGCCCGCTTTAACATCTTCGTACGAATTGGCCCGGCTCGCCCGGTGAAATACCGCGACCATACAGAGGACAGGCGTCAAGTAGAAGTAATTCCGCGTTTCGTCCCTTCCCACCTTTTTTCTTGTCTATGAGCAACGGTCGCTTCGCTATTTTAGCGATTTCAGGTGGCTGCTAGCTCGTTTGCCAGCTTATGATATTAAAAAAATTCTGATGCAACGTAATAAACAACGTAAATGGAATTCACCTAGAAAAATTTAGTGGTACTTATTTATAACCTCACAACATACAATTTAAAAGTTATAATATGAGTAAATTAAATTGAAAAAATATGAATGCATAAATATTTTGAATCGAGTATCTTTTTATATAAATCTTTATTGATTTCACTTTGATCGAGAACGATGTACCATTTGGTAGAGTAAACTCGTTAAAATTATAAATTACATGAAATATATTCAAAGGAAATGAAAGATTGCTTTGAAACGTACAAAATCATGTTTACGTTTATTACAAAAACTTTACTCGTCACTCAACAAAACATCAATGTATCAAAAACAAGCAATCAATGCTTTGATATAAAAATAGAAACATCTTTTTTTACCACCAAGAAACACAGTTTAAATGAACGGTGGTACATCTCTTGTAACTCAATCAAAATAAAACTCCGACAAGTGATTTTCGAACTAAAATATTTAATCTTTGTTCCAGAATCCAGCCTGGAGAGGGAAAATATTTTCTTTCTGTGCATCCTCTCCTCCGTCGATTAAAGCTATCAAGCGCATATGCAATTGCGTATACTATGGGCAACGGTCACTTCGCTATATCAGCGATTTCGGGTGGCCGCTCGCTCGTTTGCCATCTTATGATATAAAAAAACAAGAAGACGAAATGAGAACAAAACAACAAACCCAATTGCACTATGTATCATAGAATCAACATAATATTATACTTCACTAAGAATCGATCAAGCCATTTAGAGCAACATTACATTTATAACCAAAGTACTGTGCTTGCGTATTTGACTAAGCTCTAATCACCCATGACTTAGGTAGTGTCCGAGTCCCGATTCCTGTACGTTCCTCGGAGACCCCAGAAACCAATTCAACTGTGCTCGAGGCTGCCTTCTGTATCTTCCCCCAGTAGGCAGGGTATCTTTTCAAAGAATGCCCCCTCCCCCCGGTACCAAAACAAAAGTGTCCGGGTTCCTCAGTGGGGACACATTGTAATATTAGCATCGTGCCATATAGCAAAAAGGTATGTAAGAGCTTTTAGTTTAACTTTTGACCTTTTACGTTAAATTTGTGCAACCGGAGCGTTGCTTAGTTCGTAAGGTTTTAATTAAAATTTCAACATAGCTCCCGTTGCCGTCGCGTGTGTGCTTTGTAATTCAGCACCGTGTAACCGTAGGTTTCTACTGTCCTGACAACTTGTGTAGATTCATATTTTTTCGCTCTTTTTTAAAGAGAACGAGAGGGATGACACTATGTTTTGTACTCTTGTAGTGAAAATTCACGATTAAATAAAGCTGAGGTGAATTTTAATGCTCTACATTTTTGTAGAGAATTGTTTTTACTTACTATACCGAAACTTCAGTGCTTACTTTTAGTTTGGCAGAAATGTTTTTGATGTTAGTAAATCATTTAAAACTTTTTCATTCAGTTATCCGTGCAATTTTAATTTATTTTACCCTTTTT